CATAGTGGGTGGTGCCATCCCCTAGACTGGTAGTCCTGGGTTCTATAAGGAAGCAGGTTAAGCAAGCCATGGTGAACAAGTCAATAAGCAGCACCCCTCCATGGCCTCTGCATTAGCTCCTGCCTCCAAGTCACTGCCCTATCTGAGTTCCTGTCTTGACTTCTTTCAATGATGAACAGCCATGTGGAAGTATAAGCCACATGAACCCTCTCCTCCCCAGCTTGCTTTTGGTAATGATGTTTTGTCACAGCAACAGAAACCCTAATGAAGATAAGGTTGTTCCGGGGTCTGGGGTATTGCTGTGATAGGCCAGACCATGTTTTTGTTTGGAAGAATATGGACTGTGGACTGTGCAGTAGGAAAACAATTGAACATTTTAATGGGCCATCCTAGTAGCATCATGGAAGACAGTGGTGCTGACAGTGACTTGAACTGTGGGGTCCTGGCTCAAAGGTTTCAGAGAAGAAAAAGAATATGTGGTTTTCGGGTTTTGCTCTCTCTCTCTCTCTCCCTCGTCATGCTCCCAGCCACCCATGAAATGAATGCTGCATTTATTAAACATGGACATCTTTGATTCTTCACCAAAGTAATTTCCTTGGCTCTTACAACTTAAATTAACCCATTTCTTATTTACACTCTACCACCTGGTGGTACCTTTTTCTAGCACAGCACATTCATTTTGCTTTACTCCACGTCTCCTGGTCACCCTGGTCTCCTTCTTTCCCATGTTTTCTTTTTGTCTGCAAGTCCCACATAACCTCTACCTACTCACATATTGGCCATTCAGCCCCTTATTAGACCAATAAGAGCAACAGATATCCACAGGGTACAAAAGGATTGTTCCACAGCAACACTGCTCAGCTTGGTCCTTTTCATTATAAATCTTCATTAGAGTACCACTAATAACCACATGACAGAGTCTATATTGGGCTATTTTGAGATTTCTTAATTGCCAAGGAAATTAATTACTAATCTTCTTCCTGAAACTTTTTCATCCCCACAGCTCATCAGGTCACATGCAGCACCACTGTCTTCCATGCTCCTACTAGTGTGGCCTGTTAAGCAGAGCTTAAAGTATTCTACTGCTTTCCTAACACAAAGTAGCAAAGTCCATATTACTCCAAAAAAAAAAAAATCAGACTCAGACCTATCACAGCAATACCCTAGTCCCTGGTACCAACTTTTGTCTTAGTTAAGGTTTTTATTGCTGTGAAGAGACACCATGACCACCGCAACTCTTAAAAGAAAGACATTTAATTGGGGTGACTCACAGTTTTAGAGGTTCAGTCCATTATTATCATCATGGCAGGTAGCATAGCCATGGGCAGGCAGACACAACACTGGTGAAGTAGTTAAGGATGCTTCATCTTGAAGGCAACAGGACATTGACTGAGACACTACACCATATCCTGACCATAGGAAACCTCAAAACCTGCCCCCCACAGTGACACACTTCCTCCAATAAGGACATATTCACTTCAACAAAGCCATACCTCCCAGTAGTCACTCACTGTGGGGGTCATTTTTTCTCAAACCACCACAGTTGGAGAGCTGAAGAAGTGTTTTGCCATCAGACAGGGAGATGCAGAGTTGAGAGTTTTTCCTGCTGGTTTTTAGTCTTGCTTTGGTCATTTTCTTATTATGCTCCCTTTCCTCCCTTTTGGAATGGTAAAGTATATCCTGTGCCATTCTATATTCAAAGTATGTGAGCTGCTTTTTGATTTTGATTTTACAGAAGATTACAGTTAAGAGATTGCTATGAATTTCTGAAGAAACTTTGGACTTTTAAACAACATTGAGACTGTAATAGAATATGGGGACTTAAAGCTAGACTGAATGAAGTTTTTGCATTATATGACTACATGCTTACGGGGACAAGTGAATAGAATGTGGTCATTTGGATGAAAATGGTCCCATAGACTTATAGGGAGTAGCATTATTGTGACCTTGTTGAAGGAAGTGTCATTGGGGGTAGTAAGCTTTGAAGTTTCAGATGCGCAAGCCAGGCCCAGTGTCACTCTCTTTTCCTGCTTGCTGATTCAGATGTAGAACTCTTGGAACCATGTTTGCCTGCATGCCACCATGTCCTGCCATGATGATAGTGGATTAAACCTCTGAATTATAAGACAGTTCCAATTAAATGTTTTCTTTTATAAGAGTTACTGTGGTCATGGTGTTTCTTCACAGGAATAAACCCCTAAGACAAAGAGCTATTGTAAAAGAATTAAAAGTACTATCTAAAGAACTTTTAGATGTAGTTTTAGGTAATACCTAAGGGGTATCTTCAAAAAAATCTTGAAGAGGATCTTTAGGATATTGTTATCTATATATGCCAAGTAACATGCTAATGTTACCAGCCAATAATTATCAGTGTGGAATAAATAATCAAACTGCATTTTATTTAGTAGCACAATGATTTCTGTAGGCTCTCAAACTAGTAAGTTGTTTAAAAAATGTGCCTTTCCCATCATTATCAAGTCTATAATGTTTTGTAAGTAAGGAGTACAGATCAATGCAGAGAATTATGACATACCTAAATTTCTATACCACTGCCATGTTGATATACAGTTACAGTAGGTGATGACAAGAAAGGTGATGCATTAAGGGATTAATTCTACAGGTTACCACTTAAGCATCAGCATTTTTAATAAACTAATAACTTACTCTGCTTCCAGTGTTATGAGTTTAACTGACTTTCAGATGACTCTAGTCTGTGTGTCAAGTTGACATAAGACCAGCCAGCACAGATTCACACCAGTGATTTTATTTTAACCCAGTTACCTCTTTTAAGATCCTATCTCCTAAACCAGTTACATGCCTAGGATTTCAAAATATGAATGCTTAGGGATAAACGGGGCAACGCAGTTCAGCCCTTTGTGTCAAGTTAGCCCTGGCACTGACACTGGGAGATCTCAGGACTATGTGGCTATTGATGTGACAAACGCTTTTCTTCTGTCGCTATTAGGCGAGAAAGCAAGAGCACATATTGTTAGAAGTAAGTTCAGGCTCGCAAAGAAAGAGACCACCAACTGAAGAATCTGGACAAGGCAGAGTTTACTCTTGATCAAGAGGGTGTCCTCTGAAGAGCAAACACCCCAAGACGGGAAGTACATTTGGTTTTTATGTTAACTCAGCTGTGTCTTTTCCCTGTTGGCTGGGGTCTGGCCTCACAATCTTATTCAGTTGGCTAGTCTGAAAGGAATTGACCCGCAGGAAATGAAGGGGGAAGGGGCTCACTGCAAGAAGAAAAGGGTCACTGCTCAAGACCATCAATTTCCTAGGAATAAATCTTTGTGCAAACAAAGATTTACATGGTGGGAGGATTAAAACATTTTCATAAAAGTCTTACAGGGAGGGGGAGATAAAAAAAATATTTGAATTCCTTGTCCTAAACACGGATTTTTTAGTATTTGATAGTAAAGAGTCATAGTTGATATTTCTTACACATTTTTACATCATTACTCTGAAGTTATGACCTAAATGAGAATACTCTTTCAAGGCAAAGGGGCCATAATAAATATGTGGCCCAGCGGTGGTGGCACACGCCTTTAGTACCAGCACTTGGGAGGCAGAGGCAGTGGATCTCAGTGAATTTGAGGTCAGCTTGGTCTACACAATGAGTTCCAGGACAGCCAGAACTGTTACACAGAGAAACCCTGTCTTGAAAAACAAACAAACAAAATACAAACAGACAAAAAACAAACAAACAAAAAGTATGTGGCAAAATGACAACAAACAAAAAGTACATTAAGAAGCCTTGTGGACACATTGAAATATGAGATTCCTATACTAGCAAAATGACGATAGGATATCTGACCTCTGTCAATCAATTCGTACATTAGTATTAAGCCTGAGGAAATTAATACTTCTTTTAAAAAAAAATGAAGCAGGGCTGGAGAGATGGCTCAGAGGTTAAGAGGTCTGGCTGCTCTTCCAGAGGTCCTGAGTTCAGTTCCCAGCAACCACATGGTGGCTCACAACCATCTGTAGTGAGATCTGGTGCCCTCTTTTGGTGTGCAGGCAAACAGGCAGACAGAATATTGTATACATAATAAATAAATCTTTTAAAAAATGAAGCAAATTCACAGACACCTTCTGTGTTAGAATCCCATGAGTATAATGGGATGTATTATTGATCATAAATATTCAATATCATTCCCTAAGAAATGAATCGATTCTTCCATTTTGCGCGGACAGGAGCAGACTACATTAAGGTGGTCAGCATGCACCAAGATAGCAGATCAGCCTACGTTCCAGCTCAGAGTCAAGAACGTGAACCATCACTATGCATATAAAGCTGGCCTCACTCTCCTGCCCCTGCCTCCTGAGTGCTGTAATTGCAGGCCTGTGTCACCAAACCCCTCCTTCAAAAAAACCAATTACAATTTTTAAAGTCTAATTTGGGGAGATCCACCTATTGAACAACCAACATGATATTCTACCTTTAACAATGCAGAGTCAGGGAAAACACGTAGGTTACCGCTTTATACCCACTCTCCATCCAGCCCTAGCAACCCAGCACGCCGTGCCCCCAACTGCGGAACAGCTTGCCAAGGTGTTCTCTGACCCAAGGGACACGCCTCCACGGGGCAGTGACGGGGGCAGTGACGGCATTAACGTCCAAAAGCGGAGATCAGGGCCTGAACTTGCAGAGATAATTTGACAAGTTTTCTGTAATTAAAAGAGAGCAACACAGTGACACCCCATCCCCAAATAAAAAACGCCTATCAAGCTGTTACATGCCCTTAATCCCAGTACTCAAGAGAGCAGAGGCAGGAGGATCTCCGTGAGTTCCAGGCAAACCAGCACTACACAGACCCTGACCTTGTCTTTAAAAAAAGAAAAGAAAAAAAATGTTTTAGGAGCACGGAGAAGACTACTAACGGCAGTTAAATTGAAGTTACACCGTGCGGGTAGGTCAAGGTGGAAAGGCACCCGGAGCCACCCCACAACACCTCATCCAGGCCTCGGGAACGTCCCTTAGCGCCCATGGGCGGGGCAGAGGGAGAAACCCGCAGCGGCGCGCGAGAGCGCCGCTGTAGCTCTCGCGATATTTCCGAGCCAAACTCGTACGCGGTGTCTGTGAGCTTCAAGCCGGGGCTGGGAGGGCGAGCCGGTGCGGGTGGTAGACGCCCTTTTTCCTGCAGTCGGAAGCCAGCGAGGGAGGGTGGCACCCACTCCCCCAATCCAGTGTCTTGATGCCCAGCGCCAACGCCAGCCGCAAGGGTCAGGAGAAGCCGCGGGAGATCGTGGACGCGGCGGAAGTGGGTTTCCTTCTTCCCCGGGTCGGGACGCGAGCCGAGGGAGGGAGTGGGGCGATCGGGGCGCTCGCTGCCTTGGGAGCCCCCCCACCACACTTTACCTGCAGGCCGCGGCGTGGGGTATCGCGCCGCAGCCCAGTGCTCCCAGAGGACCCACAGGGCCACGCCTGGAAGCGCGGTCCGAGCAGCCTGGGACTGTTTCTCTTGAGAACCGTGGCTTAGGAGAAGCGTGTTGGTGGGGAGGGGGGGGGGGGGGGGGTGGGGGGGTTGAGGGGGTGGGGACGGGTAAACACGTGGCGCCCAGTGAACCGGAAGTAGCCCCAGCGGAGCTCACAGGAGCACGACCTGCACGTAACACACCACTCCAGGCCCCAGAAATTTTTGATAAAGCACCACTAATCGATTTCCTCTCAGCCCTCATAATGTTCAGACAAGTAATGACAGCTCTTTGCAAAACTGGCTGCCAGTGTATTTAAATGACTTTTCCTTGTGACAGCTGTGAACACGTGTTATCTTAATTTCCTTTCTTAGTGACCTGGTAAAGTAACCCGCAGTGATCTTTAGCACTTTCCAGAAATCAAAGTTTGAAATCTTCCTTCAAGTTAGGTATATTGTACAAATTTTTAAACTTCAGTCTTTGGCTCCTAATTTTTTTTGGTGGGTGGGTTCAACATTTGTGGTAACTACATCATAACTCAGAATATCAAGTTAATATTTAATTCTGATGAAATGTGAATACTGAAGGGAAAAGATAACACTCTACTCGCCTTTGATTCACACACTGACACCAGGTTTCATTATGTTACAGTGTCTTTTTACTGTGCCCCAGGTGTTATTTCTCCTTAGATGTTTTCCTTAGATATTTTACTAATATTCAAAAGTAATTGCTTGGTAAGACCCATAACATGTTTTATTTCGTGTATTTGTCAAAAGTGCTTCTCATATTGAAGAGAGAATTACAACAAGGCAATTAGAAGGACAGAAACTGTTCCAGACAGATCTTTCAAATCTACCTTATAAAAATCTAAGGGAGTTATTCTTGTGTGTTGGTGTGTCTAATCGTATATGTTACCAGTGCACCCTTGTAAGTAATATAGCTATAAAATGTAGTATAAGGTAGATACTGTGCTAGGGTCCTATAACTGTAAGTAGAAGAAACTTAAGATCACTTTAGAGGTAACATAAGATGAAATGAAGGAGCACAAATCTATGTATAAGTGTAGTCTGTAGGCTGAACTTAGGCCCCCTGTTCCTGACTTTATAACAGAACTTGATTAACACTGCCATCGTCTCAGTCTTGCAGCCTCAGTCTGTTAGAAGGCTGGGTTTTGGAACTAGGCAGCAGGTGAATTTCCTGATGATGTTTTACAAAAGCAAAGTTGTAGTTAGTTAGTGAATACCCAGCAGCTCCAGTTCTCAGAACTGAACATCTGGTGCTCAGAAACCTTACCCAAAGCATTGGTTCTCTTTGAACATCTCTTCCTGTAATAGGAAGTTAATAAAACTGTAGCACTTCATCCTACTCCCTTCATGGGGGAAATTTATATCTCTCCTTTGAAGTAGATTAATCTCCTTTTAGAACAAGGTAGTTAAGATGCATTTTATGCATGTATAAATTATACGAGTGCTACTATGTATGATGCATTCATGCATATATAATGAATATATAACCAGAAACTGAGTGCTTTTTTGCAGAAAGCACATATACAAGTAAACAAATTCTCATTTTTTTAAAATGACTGATTTCAAATTAATGAAATGTTTTTGAAAATTAATGCAAATTCATTTGTAGTTCTAGGTGCTTGTATTTATGTATTAATTAAAGTTATATTGCAAAAAGAAAACCTTTTTTTTTTTTTCTAGGATTATGCCAAAGAGAGATATGGGATATCCTCTATGATACAATCACAAGAAAAACCAGGTTGGTATCTTCTTTCTAATTCTAGGAGAACAATTCATGAAGTTTAAAATAGGATCACCTGAGGCATTGCTCCAAAGGAATAACTTTGAAAAGTTTAAATGTCATTCATAACCCAATAGATACTACACACTCTATAAACATTGTCAGCTTGGAGTCCTAATCTGCAAAAGAATATATTTCTAATTCTTATTTTTTGAGATAGAGACTTGTGTATTGGTATACTCAGGTGGCCCTCAACTCTTGAGTATAGCCAAGAAAGACCTTTTACTTCTGACCCTCTTCTCTCTTCCTCCGAGTGCTGATTTAGCCAGCGTGCACCACCACTCCCAACCAGATTTTTGTATTTTCAAATCTGTATTTTTATCCCCCCCCCCCCCAATCCCACCCCAGACAGTTTTTCTTTGTAGACCAGGCTGTCCTCAAACTCGTAAAGATCCATTTGCCTCTGTCTCCTGAGTCCTGGAATTAAAGGTGTGCACCACTGCTGCCTGGCCAGATAACACCTTTTAAAACTTCAGGCTGCTTTGTCTTCTCTCTTTCACAGTGTGTCTTTCCTGGCCTTTCATTGTGGATGCAGAAGTTGGCTTGGTAGATAGTCTACTGTCAGTAGTTCTCCTTCATGTTCTTTGCTTTTGACCTTGAGAACCATAGTGTTTTGCAAACACATTTTCTACAGCTGTATCTTTGCCTTATGAGACTAATATATTTAGAGGTGATAGATAACATACATTTATAGTTTGATTTTTAGAATGTCCTCAAAGGTACATTGAGGTATTATTCTCTATTGTTGTTTTTACTTAATACCCGAACCTTCCCCTATTCAAATTAGTATATATTTAAAACAATAAGAATGTTTTCTTTGGCCAGGCAGTGGTGGCACACACCATTAATCCCAGCTCTCGGGAGGCAGACAAAGGTGGATTTCTGTGAGTTCAAAGCCAGTCTGGTCTACAGAGAGAGTTCAAGATAGCCAGGCTATTCAAAGAAACCCTGTCTCGACAAACCAAAAAAGGAATGATTTCTGAATGTTATTTTATAGAACTATTTCTACATAATAGTGACTTTGTAACCTTTTCCTGTTTGGGGACCTCTGGATAGATATACGATTTTGGTTAATGTTAGGATACATAATGGTTAGAGTTTATCTACTGCCAGTGGGTTCATATACCAACTATAGGAAATAGTATGAGATGCATTAAGCTCAATTAGATTAAAGCAATGGTTCTCAACCTTCCTACTGCTGTGACCCTTTAATATAGGGTCCTCATGTTGTAGTGAGCCCCAACCATAAAATTATTTTTGTTGCTACTTCATAACTGTGATTTTTCTGCTGTTATTAATCATAATGTAAATATCTGAAATACAGAATAATTTAGTGTGCAGCCCCTGTGAAAGGCTCATCCAACCCCCAAAAGGTTCGTGACCCACAGATTGAGGACCGCTGGATTAGAGACTAGAGCATCTTGAGTACTTTCTCTATCACTGCTTCCTTTATCACGGCCTCATTCTCTCCTATGAACCCATGCTAGCAGGAAAGATGTAACTGCAGCCCTGTGCCTACACTACCTGAGGCAGGGACTTTCAAGAGACTCTCTCAGCATTTATATATTCTAATCTTGGTTACTCATTGTCCTGACGAATGACATATTTACAACATATGACCATTTTCACAGCATCTACACAAATAATTCTGTTAGCTTTGGCCCAGACAGGTGAGGATATAGTGTATTTGGTCATTTAAAGACATTGAAATGTTCACATTGAAATGAAAAGATTTGCAATGTGTAACTTCTATGACAAAGTATAGACTGAATTAGAAGGAGAGTAAAAGAACATATTGTAGTTTAAACAAGAGACAGTAGTAGCTTGGTTTAAGGTAGTGGCAAAAGTGGCAATGAAGATAGTAGAGAATCATATTTAGGAAGTGCAGTTCATAAAGGGGACATACTGCATACATAAAAACATCAAAGAAATTATTAAAGTAATACTAAGTTCTTAAGGTAACTATCAGACAAATTATGATCATAAATCTGAATTTAAAATGGCTTTATTATGTATTACAGATAGAGTTTTGGTTCGAGTTAAAGACCTGACAGTAGAAAAGGCTGATGATGTTGTTTGGGTCCGTGCACGAGTTCATACAAGTAGAGCAAAAGGTAAGATTGGCTCAGTGGTTATAGCTCTTTCGCTAAGTATATTAATTTTTTTTAAAAAAAATCTTAGTGTGAGTGAGTGTTTTGCCTGTATATATGTCTGTATGTGGATATGTATATGTATGAGTGCAGGTGCCTGCAGAGTCCAGACAAGGGCATTATATCTCCTGGGGCTGGAGTCGCAGGCATTTGTAAGCTGCCTAATGTTGGTGCTGGGAATGGAACATGAGTCCTGTGAAAAAGCAGTACATACTCTGAACTGCTAATCCATCTGTCTCTCTTGTTCCTAAAGTTGTAATTATTTAGATAAGAGAATTAGATTGGAAGAAGAAAGCCAAATGTTGCATTATGGTAGTCACAGGCCACGTGTGGCTATTTAAAATTTAATAGCTTTAGCTGGGCAGTGGTTGCATAGGCCTTTCATCTTCGCATTCCAGGAGGCAGAGGCAGGCAGATTTCTAAGTTTGAGGCCAACCTGGTCTTCAGAGAGCGTTCTAGAACAACCAGAGCTACACACAGAAACCCTGCCTAGGGGTGGGGTGGGGATTAACAGTTTTGTTGTACTAGTTGTATTTTGAACCATATGAGTGCTCCTTTCCTTTTTGGACAGTGCTTTTGGAAGATACAGCATTAACACTAACATAAATATTGGGGTTGTTCAAATCTCAACTTTTATGGAATAATGGCCTTGACCTACTCATCAGCATTTTTTAAAAATAGTAATGACATTTATATTTGTTACGACTTTGTAACTTCCCGCTTTTCAAATTTAATCATGCCTACAGATATGTGAAGTAGACAAAATAGACACTGCTAATTTGCTGTATAAAAGAGGAAACTAAGGTTCTCAAGCTGCTTGTCCAGTCTCATAGTGATTGGTAGAATATGAACAGAATTGTAAAAGCTAAGACATCTTTGTCTCTTCAGAAGAGCTTATTTAATGTGTCCCATGTTACAACATTTCTTAAAATTGTGTTTTAAAGTATTTTATATTACAGATTAATATATTTAGTCTATTATTTGAAATTTTTTGACATTTTATACCCATGCCTCTACTATTAATTACTTTTAAAGAGTAAAGGATAATTAGTGGTAGTTTGTCTATTAAGAGTTTGTATATTCTAATATCAAATTCTTAAGTAAGTGAATATTGGTGTTGGACTTTCAGAAGTGTACTAATAGTTTTAAATTTCTAAATAATGTTGATTTATATTGGTGAAAGTTTGGGCCATTTATTCTACCAAGAGACGATCAGATTGTAATTTATTGCCTTTTTGTCATTAGACTGAGAGCCTACTGTTTGTTTTTTCTCTTTTAAAATTAAATTGTTAAAGATTTATATAATGTGTGTATTTGTGTGGGTATGTGCACATGGGTACTGATTACAGGTGTGAGCTATTGTGCCTATCACTTCTTTATTATTTTTATTTTTTGGTTTGTTTGTTTCTTTCTTTGTAGGCAGGGTCTTTCCATGTAGTTCTAGCTACCTGTAACTCTATGTAGATTCAGCTGGCCTTCAACTTACAGAGATCAACCTACTTTGCTAGATTGAAGATGTTCACCACTATACCTGGTGAATCTTTTAAGATTATTTTATTAAGCTATGTGACACGAGTGCCGGAAACTGAAATCTATTCTTCTGAAAAAAAAAAAAAAGAAAAAAGCAAGTGCTCCTAGCTGTTGAGCCATCTGTCCAGCCCCATGTTTGGTTTAGCTAATGGAAAGATGGAAATGCATGCTCGTGTAAGCCTGGACCAAGACTTCAGACCTATTCTCCTCCCTGCTTTTAAATTTTTTCTCTTCCATGTCTCTTTGTTTTGTTATTTATTTGGGGTTTTGTTGTTTTGTGGAGGTTTCTTTCCTTTCTAATTTTGTGTCTTTAGGTGCAGGTGTTCTTGGAGGCAATAGATCTCTAGCTAAAGAGTTACACATAGTTGTGAGTTGCCAGATTTGGATGCTGGGAGTGGAACTCAAATTCTCTTATGACACATTCTCGACAACTGAGTTATCATCTCTCTCTAGTTTCTCTATTCAGACTTTAAATATATCAGTGAAGCTGAGAATGGTGGTGCACACCTGTAATCTCAGTAAAATAGGGATTCCAGTTTGAGGCCAGCCTGGGTATGTAGGTGGTCTCAAAAAAAAAAAAAAAGTTTGAACCTTTTCCTGTGGGAGCAGCCGGGTTAAGAGGAGCATGGCCCTCTCCTCTCCCCGTCATGGCTTGTGCCCGTCCCTTCATATCGGTGTACTCTGAAAAGGGGAGTCATCTTGCAAGAATGTCACTTTGCCAGCTGTGTTCAAAGCTCCCATTTGACTGGATATTGTGAACTTTATTTTCCCCAGCTTGAGGGAAAACAACAGACAGCCCCATGCCATCAGTGAATTAGAAGGTCATCAGACCAGTGCTGAGTCTTGGGGTACTGGCAGAGCTGTGGCTTGAATTCCAAGAGTTGGAGGTGGTGGTGCCCATTGTTCTGGCCAGGGTGCCTTTGGAAATTTGTGTCGGGGAGGCCACATGTATGCATCAACCAAAACCTGGCATCTTTGGCACCACAGAGGAAACACAACTCAAAAGTGATAACACCATCTGTTCTCCCCTGACTGCCTCAGCCTTACCAGCTTTGGCAATATCTAAAGGTCATTGAGGAAGTTCCTGAATTCCCTTTGTTAGTTGAAGATAAGGTTGAAGGTTACAAGAAAACCAAGGAGGCTGTTCAGCTGCTTAAGAAACTTAAAGCTTGAAATGACATCAGAAAGGTTTATGCTTCTCAGAATGAGAGCTGGCAAAGGCAAAATGAGAAACCAATGACATATCCAGCCCAGGGGGGCCTGCATCATCTGTAATGAAGATAATGGTATCATCAAAGCCTTCAGAAACATCCCTGGTATTACTCTGCTTAATGTCAGAGAGCTGAACATTTTGAAACTTGCTCCTGGTGGGCATGTGGGGCGTTTCTGCATTTGGACCGAAAGTGCTTTCCAGAAGTTAGATGAGTTGTATGGCAGTTGGTGTAAGGTAGCACTATGCTACCCTCAAGAGTAACTATAACAGTCCCATGCACAAGATGATGAACACATACCTTAGCAGAATCTTGAAAAGCCCAGAGATCCAAAGAGCCCTCTGAGCACCATGCAAGAAGATTCAGCGTAGAGTTTTGAAGAATCCACTGAAGAACCTGAGAATCATGTTGAAGCTGAACTCTTATGCAAAGACTATGCACAGGAATACCATTCTTCACCAGGCCAGAAATCACAAATTCCGGGTAAAGAAAACTGGAAGCAGCAGCTATAGTAGGAGGCTGCTTGTTTGTTTCCCGGCTGCCCAGACTCCCAAAATAATCACACAAAAACTATATTATTTAAATCACTGCTTGGCCAATCACTTAAACATATTACTAGCTAGCTCTTACATCTGGAATTAACCCATCTCTATTAATCTGTGTATCACCACATGGCTGTAAATTACTGGAAAGTTCCCAGTGGTGGCTACATGGCATCTACTCTGCCTTTCTTTTCCCAGCATTCAGTTTAGTTTTCCCCACCTAGCTCTACTCTTTTGCCCTATCATAGGCTAAGACGGTTTTTTTATTGGCCAGTGGTATTCACAACATACAGAGGGAAATCCCACATCAAGCGGCACTGGCTGCCAAATCAGAGAAAGGGACTGCATACAAGAAGCCTGCAGAAAGTAAGAAAAGAAGCCTATGGATGTCAAGAAGCAGAAGAAGCCTGCAGGACAAAAGGCTGCAGCTACCAAGAAACCAGCAGGTGAGAAAAAGCCCGTAGAGAAGAAACTGACTAAAGAAGAGGAAAAAGCTTGCTGCTTAATCTATTAAAATCTCTTTCATTCCATAGAGCAAATAGAGACAGTCTATTTGAATAAAAACCTGATCAAAGATTAAAAAAAAAAGTTTGAAATGATATATTATTAAAATTGTTGTAAGATAAACCTGATATTTTTTTCTTTTATACTGTATAGCAGTATTTAATTTTTATATCATTTACAATGTTTTTGAGATTTATTTCTATGTATGTGTTTGTGCAAGTTTTATCTGCTCTTGGCATGCCAAAAGAAGGCATCAGGTGCTCCCCTCTATCACTGAGCCCTTGAGGTAGGATCTGTACTTCAGCTAGGCTAGAAGCTGTCACACCCAAGTCATGCTTCTGTCCAGTTTTTTTTGTTTGTTTGTTTGGTTTGGTTTTTCGAGAGAGTAGTAGTTTTGGAGCCTGTCCTGAAACTAGCTCTTGTAGGCCATGTTGACCTCGAACTCACAGAAATCTGCCTGCCTCTGCCTCCTGAGTGCTAGGATTAAAGGCATATGTCACCACCACCCTGTTCTTTTCATTATAAAAATAATGTAAGGAGTAAGTAGAAAATCAACCATAAATATTTCAAACTAATTTTCATGAACCTGAGTGTGAAGGGTGTATTTGAGTCAGCAATTTTATAATACTAGTTTTATAACCCCCTCTTTAATCTTGCCGTATCTGTGCATATAAGTATTCACTGAGTTATTGTGTTTTGTTTGTGGTGCTGGGACTCAAACCCAGGCATGTGTGCGCGCACACATACACACACACACACATTGCTCTTGTTTTTTAACTTTATACAGAAGGATAGTATAGGGCCGGGCAGTGATGGCAGAGGCAGGCGGATCTTTGTGAGTTTGAGGTCAGCCTGGTCTACGAGAGCTAGTTCCAGGACAGGCTCCAAAGCTACAGAGAAACCATGTCTCAAGAGAAAAAAAAAAAGGATAGTATGTGCTGCTCCTGGTTTTCTTACTGTATGTAGGACAGTGCTTTATAGAATGCTGAACTAAGCAAATCATGGCCTCACTGTCGCCACCAGAACCAAAGAAAGAACAATTGTGTTTGTCAGCACATGGCAAGAACTTGGTCTCATAAATACTGGTGGGGATGGTTTGAGTGAACCATTCTCTGCCAAGACACCAGTATTGACTTTCTGTTCTGGGTTTTCAGAATCCTTCTGAGCAGGCTATCTT